CCCCCCAACCCATTTGTTAAGAATTGTCAAAAATCATCAATCATTACCATATATCCAATAACAAATCAAATTGAATCAGATCCTTCTATAGGAATGTCCTACTTTCATATTTCAAATTAAAGATTGACATCTAAGTAAAAAAAGCCTGGGTTTACGATTTGCTATGATTCAAATCATTCAACTTATTACTCAAGGCATTTTTGGTAATATCACAATCCAAGCATGTTGCTTTAAGTTTAAAGTACCTTATTTAGTAAACTATACAATTACACATACCTCTTTATTCTTTAAATCGTCAATTTAAAATATGTACTTAATTAAATTGACAACCTTCTTATGCAAAATATATGTTTTGGTCACAAAACATTGAGGTCATTTCCCTCGATATAAAAACCCATGTAAGACAACATTCATAAACTTTTCTGACTAAAAAAAAAAAACATTTTAAATTTAATGTCAAAGAAATTATATTTATAACAGAATTTTCAGAAAAAAAACACAATTGTTTTTTAAGAAAATTAATTTTTTGCTTTCAAATATTTATAAATGAATGGTTTGTTCATTGTGACCCATCTGTAAGCTCTTTATCTCATCAGCATTTTACTATTCATAGATTAATTATTTAGTTTTAGTTTTAGGCTTCAAAATATTTCAGGAAATATTATCAAAAAATTGACAAAAAAATCAAATACTTTAAATCCACATTACTCTTTTATACTTGTCACTGTCACAAAAACTTGTATCTAAAAAGAGAAAAAAGTGTTGGCAAGATTATTGCCAACAAATTTTTTGTGTTTTGATCTAGAGAAAAACAAAGAAGTATTGAATATATGATCTCCAAAAATTAGCCAAATAGTAATCCGTCATTTTCTAGCTCGGACGATCAAGCTCAATTTTGAAATAAGAATTTTACAACCCACAAACATACACAATATTGGATCTAACTTTGTTTTTTTAGGAGACTTTTGTAAAACCTGAACTTGCTTGAGGACAGGTGTACCCAGTCTGCCCCTGAATGAATCCTATCTTTGAATAAAAAGATTATTCTCTCACACAAATAATTTTATTCAACATGAACACATTTATTTTCCCTGCCAATCCACTTAAATTGTTATACTAGTGTAGTGTATGATGATGTTTCGTGAAGAGGGGTTTGTGTGGGTTCATTTATTTTAGAGAATGTTAAACTAAACAGTATTAATCAAGGTTCTAATTCAGGTTCATCAGGTCTCGGTAGATGTTGTCCGAGATCCTCTAGAGTGGAAGAGTGGGAGAGGTCAGATGGGTTGACCTTCTCCTTCCAGTGCTTGTCGTAGAGTGTTGAAGACCTGGGGTTCTTTCCATCATCAAGAATTAGATAATACGAGTTATACACGAAGCATAATAATATTCTTTACAAAATTATGATATATTAAACATCAATTATGTACAAAATAAAACGAGCACTATTTAACTTCCTTTTCTTATTTACTAGTTAGAATTGCATAATGTAAAGTATATTTAAACTAATCGGTTCTTTACGAAGGGGGGAAGTGATACAAGAAAGGGAGGGGGAGGGGTTCAGGACCACTAAAAATAGTCATTTCTTTTATTAGTATTTTGCCCAGGTGTCCGGGGATTCAGATTCTACAATTGTCAGGTGCAAGAGGTTAGATCTATGGGAAAGAATAACAATTCCAACGGATATCTATTTTTAACGTTGATATTGTCTGAAATCAAGGATTTAGGAAAACAGGGATTTACTACAATCTCCCCTTTCAAGAAAGAAATGTCGTTTGCAGGAATAATTTTTTTCATTTTTTTTAGATTTTTTTTAGGTTTTTATTTGCTTTTTAAATTTTATCCTTTTTATTTGCTTTTTCTAAATTTTCTTCTTTTTATTTACTTTTTTAAATTTTTTCATTTTTATTTACTTTTTCTAAATTTTTTTTTTAATACATACATTAGGGTTGTGTTTAATGGCGTAACATAAGGCTTTCAGATTGGGCAGAATTTCCAAATTGTGCTCTGTTATTCCGGACAGAGAATGAAACTTCAGAAGGTTCAGAATTTCTCAAGATTAGGGATCTATGAATATAAAGAAGGCCGCGCCTTGTACAACTGATAGACATGGACAATGTTATTACAAAAACGATAATCGAAATAACTTGAGTTGAAATCAAGGTGATGATGATTTTGTGTTCAATAGTGTTTGTGTTCAAATTTCCTAAAACTAGGGCTATATCATGGTAAGGTGTGTGTGCTCTAAGTGCTGGGTGTGTTCTAGTGGAAGGTTGTATGAGATGTTCTGCCTTTCTAGATGATAATACATATGTGTTCATCTGGTTAAGACACTTGTTAAGTTCGTGTTGTGAAGTGTTCAGGTTATTAGGTGTTATCCTTAGTATATTGTAGAGGGGATAAAAGAGGGATTGGGGGATTCAAACAAAGACAATCTTTCATTATTTCTGATTCTTTAGCGAAAGTGGCTGAATTTTTTGAATAAATTAGGAATGGGTTATTGGAGTTAAAAGTTTCCAAACAATGAGAAGAGTAAATAGAACTCTTTACTCTCCCGCCTGAATGAAAAAAAAAGTGTGTGTTTCTAAAAGTGTATGTGTGGATAGAGTTAGTGGGAAACAGTCTGTGGTTTGAAGTGTGTCTGTGTTTTTATGTATTCTTAGGTATTGGTTATCTAGATAGAGTGTATGGTTAGGAATGGGTTGTTGGAGTTAAAAGTTAACAATGAGAAGAATAAATAGAACTCTACTCTCCCGCCTGAATGAAAAAAAAAGCGGTATTTATTTGGAAATTGGATTTAGTTGTAATATTGGTCTTTAATCCAGCTAGAGTGTTTGTTAAATAGTCATTTTCCTAATCTAATTAAGTTGTTTGTTTTGATAATGTCTGTAGGTTTGTTCCTGTAAATATCAGTATTAAGTCTGTTACAGTGTACACTTGTACTTTCATTTAAATTTTTCTCTCTGTGGGGTCTGCTGATTAAAATGGAATTAATTTACGGGATTTCTAAGTTGGATTGTTTCGGCAAGATCTATATAAGGTGAGTGATTGTTTATTTGGGTCAGTTTGAAGATTTAATGTGTTTGATAGTTTTTAATAAATTGTTTCGTGGATTTGGA